TTTTTTCGTCCTCTTAAGTGGTAGCACCTTGGTGATTTAAATTGTGGGTCCTAAATCAGCCGTCACATTCGCCAGAGGGGATGCGCTTCTTGAATTTTGCAAATCGTCTCAAGTTGTGATTGTGTGGAAACACACGATTGTATGGAAGACCTAACTTAACAAATTATCACATCTGGAAACCCTGCACGACACAAGAGTATTCTAATCACAAACAACTATGCCGAGGATGAAGCAAAGGAGGAGCTGGAGACCTTTCATCGGAATACTTACTCGTTCGTGTTTTGAACAGAAAAAACATGAGCACTAGGTAGCATAGAATGACAAGAACGCAGACGATTACGATTGACATTATCAGGACGTCATAGCTAGGTCCTTGAAATATAATCGCTGGGGAGCACAAAATGTATCTGCAACAAAAATGTTTTACATGACAAATATAGCGAATCGTCAGATATACACAAAATCCTGAGTCGTCAAGGCTCTGAAAATTCGTAAACTCCCATTAAATACCATTTCGACTTTAGGCACCGGTCATTGAAGATTCCAGCACTGAACTATCGATCATCTCGAGGTTCAAAAATAGCCTTGGGCGAACAAAACCTTTGGAGCATGACTACTTTAACAAGAAGTTTAATTCTGCTTGTGGGAGCATATTGTTTCAATAATTATAGCAGAAAATGTACTCATTGAAGTGTCAGAGTAAGGTATGTGAATGAATGTGTGGGGAAGCAAAAATATCCCCTTGGGTTGAGCATCAAGCTTATCAAAATTTGTAGCCAGTGATAGAAGTATTCTGTTCCTACTTTTATAGCTAGGAACCTATTATAGTGGGTTTCACGATCAGTTGGCAAGCAGTTACTTCGGTTCGTAGTCGACACTTTTGACGTAACAGTGGCCACTGTGTTCATGAAAACGCCGCTGGCAAGCGGTGGTTATATTACAAAGGCTAAGGATTCAAAACATTATTAATTTGGAGCCTCATTTTAAGGCCGAATATTGCTAGCTCTTCATCACTAAAATCCGGCTTGACCGAATAATCACCCCTATCTTTTCATTATGATCGTTTCGGGGAGGAAAACCTTGGTATGCTTCTTCGCCTCAAAAATTCAGCAAATGTTCCCAATCGCTATTATTCAACAACAATAATACGAGTTCTTCACTGGCGACTTTGATGTTGTATGAAGACCCGAATATCGAACTGATAAAAGATAGATACGAAGACCATTTTTCACTCTGATAGAGTTATTTATGTAAAAGTAACATACTCGTCGGGAGTCCGATAAACAAGAACCAGAACATTGATAACTGTTCCATATACAATCCCTGGTATAATATGTGCTGTCATGTAATGTTTTCGATAGTACGCTACCAGCTTGTCACTGGAAAACAGAATCAAATTAAGGTAGCACACTGATCATGAACATTATTTACCTATGATTCCTGCTGAATTGGCTCTTTTTTAGGTGCATCTACACCTTTGATACCAACGATAAAACAGAAGAAGAATAGAGGCGAGCTGACTCTTTCTAGGGGCCATGTCCTAAGGAGGTTCCATTTCTGTTCCTCAGAGACACTTTTTTTCAACCACAACGAAGGATGAATCACATCTATATTGCGCACAGGACACAAAAGCTCAATTGTAAGATCTCTGCAATTCAGGGCCTGTTGGGAGCTTTTCTATAACATGCAAGCGCGAACTTTCTCTGCTAAGCGAGGCTATGCGGTTAAAAGTAAATATATTAGTGTGAGTGTTAGCGTGACAAAGAGCTTACCATCGTTGCATCTTTGTCCTTATAAAAAATACGAAACATTTATAGCGTGTTGTTGTTTATTTCTCAAGTCTACCTTATGTAGCGAAGAAACAAATAAACAAAATAAACAAGTAATGCGCCCTGGTGGGTACTGATAACTTACTAGAATGACATCAAGGAAAACAGTCTGTCCATAGCTATGTTGAGCAGAAGTACTAGAGAAAGACATGATGCGAAAACTGGCGTTAACTGGAGATGAAGGCATAAACTGTGTCGAATTTCATGGCCTTCGATGCTGAAAATAGTGTCTGTGTAATGCAACATGACCGTTCGTTGATGTCAACCAGATGAGGCAGCCAAATTTACTCGGCTCAATTGATTATGCTCATACCCGTGCATACTGTCTACTTCAAATGAACTTTGCTTGAAGCTGTACATATCCAAGCAAATTAAGCTTCTAATTGAAAGATAATGGTTTCAATTTTGCTTTGACTTGATGTTTTGTCGAGTGCTGCTTTCGCAGCGGTACGCCAATTGTAGAAAAAAAACTCCGGCCTTGGACGGGACCCAAACCCGTACACTTGCTTTTCAGTCGTCGTGTTTCCCCCTCACCCTACCGAGACCCCGCTTGTACCTCGCCTTTAATGGCTTTTATACCATAGCTTGGCCTAAAAAGCCAAGAAGAAGACGAGGACAAATGGGTCATAGTGCAAGCTGTAAAGAGCACAGCGCCTCGTGGGGGGCTCGAGTCACGTTCGAAGCCAAAGTTTCGTCCATAACTTGCCAACCTTGCTTAGGTTCAATTTTGTTTAATGAGAACCTTTGCCAATATCCTTTTTTTCCTTTTCATTTCATAAAATTCGGCCGTATAGAAACGAGAGCAGTCGTCAACAATGAATTTCGAAGTTTCATAGCAAAGTGAGGCAGTCTGACGAACCGAAGCACCCACTGACTTGGAACTAATTTACCAACTATTTGAATTAGCCAAATACTATTTGAACTCAGTTTTACAGTGAGACATGTGAAGGAACTCTCTGGAAACTGACAAATTGTATGTTATAGTAAAAATGTAGTTGCCGAATGACTGCACGACGTCGGCAAGTGATAGTAGTCCGATGAGAAGGTTACATGGACTTCTGAGACTCCTGGAATCAAAAGAAATCAATTATGTAAGCAGTGATGTTGCTAAAAGTAAAAAAAAAAGATTTTAAGATCTATAACTTCAAACGGGTTTGCCCCACCAAATCTGGGAGGTGGGACCATGACCTGTACAGCAAAAGATTTATCTTGAAGCACCACTCAAAACGAGCGGTTTGAGAATGGGGTTCATTTTGGCTGCAGCCTCTTCATGTCTTATGTTGATTTTTGAGTGCTCACTCACCTTGACCGTACTGTAACATAGACGATGAATCCGTTGCCTATTATGGTTATGGTTGGAAATAGAATATATGAAATTTGATAAGGGATAGGGAAAGTGTTCGGAGGCATAATGATGGAATTAGTATCTGAAAATACTTTTATACGCTCTACTCATAAGTAATAAGTAAATGTTGGTTTACTCGAGGCTCAATGCATTTTTTCTGCATTGCAACGTCATTCTCTAAAAAGCATACAAACACTTTATAGCAATACTTCTCTAAAAGGCGATGTCATCACTGTCAAAGGAAAAACCTACAGATCTACAGGACAAATTTATTTTCAAGCAGGGTTCAATTCGTCATTTTTGATTCACAGACGATTTGAAAGCTAAGTATACATGTAAGAGACTAACACTATCCCACTACTTGTGGCAATACACATAGTTGTGATGATTTCGTTCGAGATAGCCATTGGATCGAGCAACTTGGTGGCTCTGTGGCAGGTTGGTGGCAAAGCTAATCATATGAATCACTATTGTCTATATGTCTGTCTGCAATCAACGAATCGGAACTAATTGCGAGTTTTTTCTCATAATCTCGCTATTGTCGCCACAGAGTTGATTTGTGAGGAAGAATTCAATCGAATAACATCCTGTTTTTGGTGATCCTCTACTTTTTTCTACCGCTAGAGAATTAGTATAGCATACAGTATCCTACTTTATATAATTCGCTAACTGTGTGTTTGTGTGTTTGTGTGCATGTCGGTGTGTGTGTCCGACCGGGATTTCATAACTCCTCTCCCCGTGGACCTAGAGCGTTCAAACTTGGTGGGGTACGGGGGGCTGGGGACACTTATGGTGTACTCCGTTGTGGCAGAATCGGCCTCCGTTCACAGGGGGCGATGCGCAATAAAAATTGGTCCGCAATCATAGCTCCTGTTTATGTGAACCCAGAGCGTTTGAATTGGGTAGGATTACACTTTTCGTATTGAAATTGGGACCTCGGCATTTCAATAAATGATGAAGGATATGACAGGATAGTAAGTACTCGGTGACAGGAACTGATAGTAACTTATAAGAGAAGATAAGGGGCCTAGGAGAGCTAGAGCCACCTAACTATCAAAATTCTAACCCTTCGGAACTTACGATGTAGCTTTGGCTGCTCATTACGTTTCATTCGATAAGACGGGATGGTAGAGCAGAGTGAAAAAAGTGAGGGGTAAGTGCAGTAATAGGGATCATTGGGGCAACACGATGCAGAGTAGAACTTTGTTCATTTCTTACTATTAGATTACGACCGCTTTTTCATACCAGCAGGGTTTGTGCCCGATGAAGGATCCTCATCGATCGATATTATTTGCGTCAAAACTTAACCGACCGCCAGTTATCTGGGATTCTAACTAATGATATCCCTGAGAAGGGAAAGGTCCATTGATAATATCTGATATGTAGTAGTGTTATCATCACTCCAAACATTTGTAAACACGGCCTAGAGCTTTGGCTGCCTAACAGTTGAATCTTTTATGAGTATTCATTTGTAAGAACGAAAGCAAAGGATCAGGACTCCAATTCAAGGAGTGAGCACCGACTTGCACTGACTACCATTTGCACTGCCCTGTTAGTCGTGAGTCAACTCCTGTACAGGAAACTATTATTTGTTTCAAAAAAGAAGTGGAGTAGCGGATAACTGCAACTCTGTCAAACAAGGAGTGAAGCCCGGAGCTAGCCGGTCTGTTGAAACGTCAGGGACAATGAATGCCTCGCCATTGAAAAACTTGTTCGTAGCATTATCAATTATTCGTTAAAAACGCATTCAACGATAAAAATTGTTTCTGACATTCCCTGCTAGGTCGAGCCTGTGTGGAGCTGTCGTGTTGTGGGGCTACTGGCAATCAGATAGGGCAAATGAGCACTAGAACGCAGTTACGCCAATGACCACATTTAGAAATGGAGTCGACATGTTCATGGCCAACTGCGCCCTTTACACATGTGCAGTCGAACACCTTTGTTGAGAATGCAAAAGTCTTTTCCAGTACTTCCTCCTTTGGTGCACCTTCGGTATCTCGTTCGTGTGTTGGGGAAACGGTGACTAGAGTGAACGCTGGCTCTACCTTTCAATCGTTGATCAACAAAAACAATCAGCTACAATGTATTGTTCTGAAGCTTTATTTACCAAATGATCAAGGCGTAACTTTGCACGAACTACGATCATCAGGATGTTATGGCGAGAAAAAGACGGGAAACAAAAGGCCCTACAATCACAGAAACCATGAACATAGGCTTTTGATCATAGTAGGCTGGGTATTACTTTTTGGAAAACATTTCGTTAAGCGAAATAATTAATAGAAAAGGACAGGCAACATTGATTAATGTGAATAGAAGGTATAATTGTTTAAGCGTTGTACTGGACCATAATATTCTTTCTCCGAACAATCCCATTTCTCTGAAAGTTCTTGTGATCATAAATAAATCTTGGCAGTAGATAGACAAACGGTTGCATCGCTCATGGAGGTCTCTCCCATACTGTGAAATGAGATTATATACAGGGCATCAAACAAACGTACTTGAGAATGTATAGTGCCCATTCAAGCTTGAAAGCACTTCAAGACCATATGATTTCCATGTCACCCTCCATACCAAATATGGACATAGGAATATTGTGTGGCCCGGGCTCCCCTCCCTCTTGTTGGGCCGATTGGCATTGCAGAACATACGAAAAGCTACGCATTTATCAGGTGAATGCATAGCTCTTCGCAGTTCATTTCTTAAATTTTCCCACAGTCCCATTTCGGAAAGAGATTGGGCAAGCGCCAGCTGCAGTGCAAAACGCGCATTGCGAAGCCCCTGAAAAGATTCATGCCAGACCTCTGATTGCGACGACTCTGTACACTTAGCCCTAAGTTTTTCGCATACTACAGGTAATATGGAACTATGCTGCATAGAAGTTATGCTTTCAGTTGCGGATCCACAAGTAATTGGCGAACTCGGCTAATTACCTGAAGCATTTCAGGACGGAAATCTTCTTCAAATCGCTGAAGCAGTACCCATTCGAAGACTATGCGATCCCTTCCACCATAGACATCGTGATCGAATTTCTGTAAAATTAAAAGCTAATTATACATATATACATTATTCAATTATCTTAGAATAGTCACAATACCCTGCTCTGAATTTACATCGATAAGCATATGGGCACTCTAAGAAAATTGGAGGGCTGTTGTATGAAGGTTAGACGGTTGCTTCGGAATGTGCACTTGCAAGACTAGAGTTAACAATGTATTGCCTTAGATACAGATATCTTTGGGAATCGTGCGGCCTTTATTAGTGACCGAGGCATTATACTGTGCTCCAAAATTATGGGCACTAATTCATTGCAATGTGTTTAAAGGCACGGTTTACGATAAAAAATGGTTACTGGGTTCTTACCTTAAGAATACTCAGTGGCCCCCAAGGGTAATAGAAAGGACCTTCTCGCGCCCAAAAACTTGACGGTTAGGGCACAGTGGAAGCCTGTTCCCAGCTCGCGCGGCCTTCCCGCTCCTCGACCGATGTCACGTCAGGCGAGTGTCGAGGCGCGATACATTGCAATAATTCGTTCTAGGACCCACACACAATCAGCTGATCGCCAAGTGATGAGGCGATGTTTTCCTCCCATCCTCTTTACCTCTGTTATTCTTTTTGCTACCGCGATCCCTTATTTAGGTTTCTACCTCAAGGGGCTGAAAAAGGTGAGCTATTTTAGCTGGTACTATGGTTTTTCGTTTACTTATGCTTATAGGTGAATGAATTTTTGCTTACTGTAGTTAGTTATTTGCACAGGACCCACGCGTACGCAATGACCCACATTGTAGAGCTCGTTCAAATGCCCCACTCTTCTTCATTCTTCTGGTCTCATTCTTGTCTAGCCCACCTTTTAACGCTTTTTCTAGGCCTTTTTCACTTTGGAAACACTGATTTACGCAGTTCCTTGGCCTTCATCGCATTATTTTTTTCTTATCTTCTGTTTTTCGTCACAATTTGGTTTACCCAAAATTATCGTGAAATGTGCCTTGAAGCATCTGAGCTGAGAGGCAATGGAATTTGTATGTAGATTATGTTCAAGAACAAGCTACGATCATATTTCAAGATATCTCCCATTAGCACGGATAGAGGTACAAAGTCTGCTCAATTAAAATTAGTCGGAGGGAGGCCACTCTCATCAAGAAATGTGTCGTTGCGAGGTGTTATTCCGTGTTACACCAAGGAACTTAAAGTTTTCACTAAGCCTTAAGAAGAATGAAGCACCAAGGTGGGCGGGTCAGCTTTTCGCTCGAGGTAATCATCTCACCCACAAGGTGCTCTAACCCTCTCAAGGCTTAGTTTGAAAACGTTATGCCCTGGCTGTAACCGCATGAGAGCACTTAGATGGCGGGGGCTTTCCCTTCTCTTCTTTTCCGATGAGGTCTAATGTAACAAGGATCAGAACCTGACACTGAGTTCATTTCTTGATAATCCTACAGTGAGATGGGTCTCTTCCCCTTCCAACTACATTTTCGCCGCCTGTTCTTGGACTTATCCTCGCATGTTGCACACAAGCGTACCTTTCCAATTTTTCCTAGATGTTCTTGAGTTTTCTTTTCCGAGACTCCAAACTGGAATTGCAAACACGATAGGTCAAACGAGTTACGATCTAGAGAACGTGATAGGCATTCCTTTCTCTTAATGAAGTCGGGTACCAGGTGTGGGCACTACTCTTGGACGAGCTTGGCTCTGTGGACCTGACTAGCATCCTGCTGGAAGGGCCACGAGCTGTTTTGGGAAGCAAAGTGGGTTCAGTGCTTACGTCCATCAGTATGCTCTTGAGTACACGTCTTTGTTGAATTTCTTTCCGGCGAAAACCAGCGAAACCACCAGCGTGTACAATTGCTCGTATTTCTTTCAGAAACATGTCTCTTGTGTTCTTACAACAACTTTTCACAGGAGCTCTTATTTTTGATGTTTCTATGCAGGACGACTGCCGTGAAAGTTTTTTCGTCAAAGAAAACGATGAAACGACTGTGTTTCTATTCAAGTGATTTGACAACCTTCTTCATTTGTTGATCCTCAGCTGCAGTTGTGGAAAGGCATTTCTGCATACGAGAGGAATGGCAACGAAGCCTATGCTCGTCAATCTGCCCTATCGACAACTTTGATTACTCGTGCTCCGTTGCCGTCCTTTTGATGGGCCTATCACAGCACGACCGACCAGCAAAGAAACTTTTTAATAGTCCTATCTTTAAATCTCTGATCTTTCTACCCTTTTCGGCTTTGCTCTCGACTAGTTCTGCTTCTCTGTATCGTTTGACGGTAAATTTTGACTGTCAAGTTTTGCATCTGTTGTCGTGCGCTACATCGAGACGGCTTTAAAGAAATGACATTCTTGTTGGCCTGGGTGGGAACCGGTCCTTGGCTTTATCCTCGGACTATGCGTGATAGTGGGCCACTGCTATACCATAACCATCCGTCTTTTTTCCAATACTGTTCAGCTTTCCTTCACACCCACATCATCAGCGGAGGGGCTTCTTTTACTGAAGCTGCGATAGGTAAGAGTGGAGTAGGTTACGTAATACAGAAGTTGTGATAGAAGAGATGAAAGGATGAAGAGACGTTTCAGGCAAAGAGAAGCAAAAACTTGTACCCGTCAAGATCTCTTCTTCAAAATGTCACCTTTTGAACCTGATTATTCCGCATATGACTGTATATGACTACATTCAAAATTTGTATTCAGCGAACTAGGCAAACTTACGCTCACAGTGACGGCAATCTGGATCCTCTCTTTGCTCTTCAGTACACCATATGGCGGATATGCGAGAACACGAGGTATGCAGTTGCCTGAGTATAGTAGGTAGATAAGTTAACATTTTGATTCCACTGCACGATGATCATGATTCCTCATAAACCTGATCACTTTTTTAAGGAGTAGTACCGAATGACTCACCTTTAATGGCAAATGCAAGTGGATGTACGGTATTATTCATTATTGTCATATGATATGTGATATGTTCAAAGTCGAAAGGAGCATTGAAAACCTGAGAAAACCAATCCTTTCGGTGTCTTTCAGGGTTATACACTCGTGATTTTTACTACGAAGCGCTTATTGAAAGTGTACTAAGAGTGTGCTCAATAGAATCTCTGTATTGCTAAATTGGGATGCTGAAAAGCCCGTCATACTGTAAGGCCTGATAATAATACTGTAAGGCGCTCCTATCGTGGTATATAAAGCCGTTTGGCTTGGTACGGAAGCGAGACAATATGTATAGACTCTACGGTCACGCTTGCCATGTATCAAAGAAAGTCGGTAAACAGGAGATGGGTGGTCAGCATGTGGGGGGACGGAACATTCACCCAAAACTGGATGGACGCGGCAAATGGCGCGGCGAGATTCGTGGCGTTCAGGACGACTTTGGCACCTATCATTGGGGCGCAAACTTGAAGTGGAGTACATTAGTATGATCAGATAATCGTACTAATTAGCTCTACTCCAAATTTGGACCCTAATATTAGGCGCTAAAGCCGTTTGAATCGCCACGAATTCCGCCGTGCGATTTGCCGCGTCCATCCAGTACTGGGTGAATGTACCCATACCCCAGCATATGTTGGAAGAGTTCGAGTATGAACACCGAAGAAATCATTTCAAGGGTCTGAAGTGGGCATGTCTTTTACCGATGTGGAATATATCTACGGCATTTCTCAATTCATAATTTTGCTGATCTTTGTATTCCCTTGAAAATATACATCTATTTCAAATAATCTGCCGAAACAACAAGCACGCTGGTCAATNAAAAAAAAAAACTTCAAACTAAAGATTCGAATCGAGCAAATCTGTTGCTCCGAAAAATGGAGAAGCACACACATACCACTTTATCGAGTGGACGGAAGATAATTTCGTTGATATTCACTTCTGGATCAAGAGCAACATTTTCAATACCGGGACCTTCTTTGATTCTATAGAAGCTTTCTGTGAGCATTGGATTCTTCCCCTCAAATCGCTTAGCTCCTAAAAATGTTTGCCATAAGAATAGAACCATCGTTGCGCTCATGATGTTGAAAACCACTTTACCGAAAGATGATAACAGCGTTCTACAAATTTCTTTTAGTTGGAAGGAAGTTCTAATTTTTGAAAATTCAGAAGTTCCACTGTCAGAAGAAGATTCAAAAATTTCTATGTCATAGAAATGCCAGATGGTTTAAGTATTATATTGAAGGCTACTTGTCTGGAGAAATGATTTCTCGTATGTTTTCGACATATATGTAAGAGATTATGGAGTTAAACCGAGCCTAGCGTTCTCGTTCGTGCTCGTGTTTTTGGAATGATCTTGAGACCCAAAAAGAGCGCTTGCCTTGTAAGTGCTTGAGTCATAAATGATTCGACCTAGCTTTTTTGCAGGACTAGATACAGATTGTACTGAGAAATGGGCAGGAAAGCTCAAATGAGTGTTTTACATTGCCTTGTTTGAACAATAGTTCGCAGACACTTTAACAGTCGAAGCATTCCAGGGAGATTCAAAGATTGAATGACTGAAAGTGGTCGCCTACGAGAGCAAAAGGGTGGAGGTCAGGAAAAGAACGGAGGTATCTGCTTAAGTGGATCTAACGTGTTGGTAGACTTTTGGCTTCTGTTAGTGCTAAGATATTTACATTTGAATGGATCTGAGTGGAAACCATCTAAATTGTTCTTGAGATCTTGCGATGCGATGACAGCTGATTTTTATTGTTAGAGCAGTTCTCGCTCATATCAAATGTCAAGTGTCCTGCAGCTGGGAGGGAATTGCATGAACAAAGTATGATTTTCGCGCTGAGTACGTGACATGAGTGGTGATATGGCTGCTGTCAAACATCAGAGGCCGCTTTCATAGTCCGCGATTTGGGCCCGCGAGCGCGCGAGCCAGCCGAGGACCCACTCGTCTGGCGGTATCAACCAAGATCCAGTCGTAAAAAAGGGGCAAGCGCCGCCCCAATCGCTCGCTCGTGTGCGCGCTCGCGGGCCCGCTGGCGGATTATGAAAGCAGCCAGGGGGGTGACTCAGCATCGTGCATCGTTGTTGTTTTCACTGCATTCTTTTGAATAAGCTTCCCTTTTCAGATTTCTTAAGGGAGAAAACTATGCTACGTGGCTGTAACGCTACCAGTGAGTGTCTGTACTCACAGGAATATCTCTCAGATGAGGTCGATATGTAGACTGGATTCCGCAGAACGACGCATTTGTGATACAGAGTGGGTTTATATTATTTTTATCGAGTATGTATCTAATGTTGGTCTCTTGATGCCCTGTCTGCTGCTATCTTGTATTTAGCCACACGAAGAGACGCAAGTACAAAATATGGCCCGAAATTCAAATAATAGGGTCATTATTAGAATGGTGGCGTAGTTGCAGCAGCGGAGAAGTAGCCTGTTCTTCGAAATTCTGTTGTGGTTCGTCAGCATACTATGATTAAGTTTATCTACTACAGCTGTGTTCATCAGAGAGCCTCACCAGAGAATTGCTTCAGCAGCGGTAACCTGATGAATTCATTGAATACTCCCCTATTCCCGCGCTATTATTGCTTCAGATTCAAGATTATCATCACGTTTTTATAATTGCTTGCTGTCTATTCACTAACAGTCGTCTATATACTACACTTGCGCAGAGGTTACAAGAATTCATATGACTAAATGCAATTTTACCTTTAATATCGGAGGTGCTCGTTGCCTGCACAGTTTGCCCGCTTTCCGATGGCGTTGAGAGGTAGTCGCTCTGCAAGTATTCTCTTTGACATCGCCCGTCCACTTTGGACTCACCAAGTGTTTGTTATTATTTATGAAAAGGTATAGTCTGATTGACCAGAGCTATAAGCGAGATTGTACCTTGGGTCAAATGTGTGAAAGTCGCCAGAGTAGCAGAGAGAAACATTCGATTCAACCGTTGACAAAACTAGGTCGCGCCGCGCACGTCGCACAACCCGCAAATTCGGAAGGATCAGCTTCTAATAGTGGAAAGTCTTCGCGGTTTAGATGGTTTACCGCGCGTGGACATTCGAATACACATCGATGCTAAAGCGATTCGGCACGTTTCTGGTCAATCATCCACAATTCCACACACCCTCCTTCGTTCTCTTCATGGAAAGTTTGCTCAACATGTAGTGACAAGAGTGATTCCTATCGAAGTATTAGATTTTGCTTTTCTACGCGAATCTTTTGTTTCTAATCATTCTTGCTTCTCAGACGTGTCTTTACTCTCAAGGAATTTCCCTCACTGGTCAATGCATAAGTTGATAAAGGACTCATACTGTTTTCTAATTATTTAAGTATATCTAAACTGTGTTCTCTGATTTGCATTCTAATGTCCGAGCGTGAGAAACAATTACAATCAAATAACTTTTTAGAAGCATTGCAACGACATCTTGGAATGACGATGCATGCATTGCACCGCACGCCACCCTGACATGCTGGTCCCATTGTCTTTGAAGAGTTTCACATTCGTACATACGGAATGGAATGGAATTAATGGGTGAAGATCGCCATCCATCCTACATTCTAACAATCATGTTAGTTCGCAGTTTCAGAAATCCTCAATGAACATGAGTGGCTAGCATCACTGTTGTTTCAAAATTCTTCCTACGATCAGAGCAACGTCTCCCCCGCGATGGACTGTTTTCAACTTCATGGGATATACCACCTCACCAATGATTCTGAGAGGAAAATGCCAAGGAATCACAGAAGCACAGATATATCTCTGTAGTATACTGTACGAGGAATAGTGAATTCATCTCAGTAAAAGGAAAGTTTGTCCGTATTATGTAAAACTCAGATAATTGAAATGACAGAAAGAGAGAAGAATCATCGACTAGATCACCTCGATGCGGTCAACGTCCGGGGTCCGGGGTGTGGGACATTCGTGTGCCCGGAGATGCACGCGGCAACTTGCGCCGCGATATTCCTGGCTGATTTGGAAGACAATGGAGCCTATCATTGGGGCACAGGTTTAAGGTAAAGAAGATTAATAGGATCAGCTGACCCTACTAATCTACTCCACTTCAAATTTGGTCTCTGATGAGCACCTGTAACACCTCTCGTCCCGTTGCTCATCGATTTCCTCAAGCGGGCGTCAGTAACGTCACCATTCGTCCCTGTCACGAGCCAGAGTGGTCCANTGAATCGTCCTCGCTTCAGGGGCACGAGGTCTAACACTCCTTTCGTACAGAGCTTCCGTGAGGAAGTCTGATCATCTCGTTGGCGGCCGACCTGAAGTTTGTCTGAGGGAGGGATCCACTCAGTAACCGCCCTGGTCCTATGGTCATCACTATATCGCATAACGTGTCCGGACCACCTGATTCGATTTCTTGGCGTAATCAATGGCATCCCTCATCTTCGTTCGATAACGGAACTTGGGACTGCGAATTCCCTTCGCACTTGCGTGGATAGGGGAAATCCGAGCATCACCCTTTCCAAAGCGCGTTTAGTAACGCTGACAGCACGCTCATCCTGCTTTCGTAGAGTCCAAGTCTCCGAGGCGTACGTCAAAGCGGGAAAGACAGCAATGTCGAAAAGATGAGCGCGGAGCCAGATGTCCTTTGTCTTCTTCACTACTCCCTTCCCTCGATGTTCTTAAATGCTCCTAACGCGGCGCGTTTCCTTCTGCAAAGCTCTGGAGCTAGGTCGTTCATCATATTGACTTCCCAACCTAGATTCACATAGCTAGAGCATCCAACGATATTCGTTCCGTTTAACGTGAAAGGAGCACCAGGTACCAGTTTTTTTTCCATAAAAATCGTCTTTATTAAGTTCATTCTCGAGCCAATCTTTCCTTAAGCACTGTTAACTCGGCCAGCATTCGTTCCGTTTGCTCGATTTTCGGTGTTATAAGCACGATGTCATGTGCAAAGCAGAGGTGATGTAGTTAGCGGCCGTCGACCTTCAATCCCAAATCTTCCCATTAAATGACGCACGTTATTCTCGAGAGCGGCACTGAAAAGTATGGGCGAAATGGTATCGCCCTGACACCCTCTCTTAAAGTTGATAATGAGTTCCTTGAAGAATGGTGAAATTCTGGTCGTTTAATCGTCGTAGAGCTCGCGAAGCATCCTCATATATCATTCCTGATGATAGGCGCTGAATTCCTTCAAATTGCCATGAATTTCGCCTCCCCTTTTGCGCGTGCATCTCCGGACGTAGGAATGTCCCGTCTCCCGGAAGCCGATGTACAGTGCTTTTATGTACTAGTGAAAGATACTTCAAAATGTAGTTAGTGCTAAAGCAAGGTGAGGCAATGTTATGGAAACAAAGCAATGCCGCGACTACTCATCTGCTTTTATTTCTATACTTTCTTTTCCTAAATTCATTTTAATTACTGTAAAGTTGTTGTCAGACACCGCAATGACTATGCTTCTTCTGTTCAGCCACAGTTCTATCCCTGCCCGATCGCCGATATGTGTCAGGGATTACAAGCGATTAACATCTCTAATTGTTTGTATGTTTCAAGAGATACTTCTCTGAAACTTTCGCTACACTGAAGTGGCAAACGTTTTTGTGCCTGCGTTGTTTCTGTCACTTTTTGTGAATGTTTTCAAATATGTTGCCGTTCTTCATTCCGGCGCCGGTGCAGCGATGGGAAGTGCAGAGGAGATGCCGATTCCTACGGAATCAATGAGTAGGATTTGAACATCTTTCAAGCAGAGAAGCATACAAATGGGAGTGTCATCCCAAGAACTCATAATCTTCTCAGGTCTGAGTTGCATGGCACGAATTGGCCTCCAGTCTGAAGGAATTCATGTTCTTTCATTCCTCTGGATAGAGCACCACTGAGTTCAAGCACCACTGGCTATTCGTCAAGCCTAATTTTATTCCTGTCACTCGAAGATGGCCCAGCAAAAAGTTCGGTATAAGTTGGATTAATTATCAACTGTCAACGCACTACACAACGGTCCTTGAGCCTGTGTCGAATCGGATAAAAATCGCCTTGAAGTAAAGTAGTGCTCTCACACATTTATATCTTCATAATTGCAAGGGGTGACGCCATACAAGTTGCCTTCCCTAACGAGTTGGAGCTAAGTTCTCAGACAGCATTCATTTGATTTCCATAATTTTGCCTAATCTTGTAGCATCTTTACGGTGATTTACACAGGCGAAGATTTACTTCGTTCTGCAAGGCAGTGCATATGCGCCACTTAGATGAATAATTAAGACACCAATAACAGAAATACAAAATTAGGTGTTAAAACGGCGTAGTGGAATGGTGTGATGATGTTTTGAACATTGTTCCAATCGAAAAATGTAGAAGAAATACAGCAGGTGGTCGTGAGGCTTACAAAGTAAGCTACTTCATACTACCCGAGTACAAGCTCCTTCGGATAGGAAAATATGTTCATTCGATCCAGAGAAAATTAACGTTTGGAGAAGGGGAACACGAAGTGAACGTATTACCTTTTTCTCTTGTCGTTTCGAGAGTCTTCTTTGAGTTTCTTTCTCGTTCGAAACTTTATCACGGTTCGTTTCTAGCACTTCTTGATTGGGCAGAGCGGATGCTCTCTCGGATTTCGGACGTCTTACTTGTCTAGACGATTTCCTCTCTCCTGATATTGCCCTATCCTTGATCATTTCTTGGTCGACTGCCATAGTACCGGCTGAAGCGCTGCTCGCCTCGATCACATCTTTTGTCGACCCTTGCTCACCAGTAACGTGACCATCCTTGATTTCTTCATGTTCAGCAGCGGTAGCATTTGCCTCAACAGTGCTTGCTTTTCCGATATCCTTGGACAGAGATTCCTCCACACCACCTCCTCTAGCTTCTCTGACTACTCTCGCACTGGCAGGTGTAGGCTCTGCACCAACAATAGCTGCATTGGCCACGTCTTTAAATATTCCTGCATGGAGACCGCCTGCCTTGCGGTCCATCACTTCTTGCGACTCCTCGCCAGTAGGTTCTGCGGCAACGGTACCAGCTTTGGAAAGGCGCTTCACTGTACCTTGCTCCAGTTCACCTGCTGTCTTGTACTCCTTCACTTCTTCTGACTGTGCAGCCGATAGTTCTGCTGCCGCTCTACGTGCTTTAGCCAGGTCCTTGCCTTCCTCTGTTTCACTCTTTGTCTTCCGATCCTTCACTTCCTCTGACTGTGCAGCCGATAGTTCTGCTGCCGCTCTACGTGCTTTAGCCAGGTCCTTGCCT